CACGCGGTCAAAAAAACCCTATGGAGTAAGTGTTGAAAGATCAAAGAAACCAAAGTACTTTATGACGTGTGTTTTGATTCGTTGAGTCAGTGTGTGCTCGGTATAAATCAAGACAATTTAAACCTGGTTTGTCGATGGCGATTCTAAAGTTTTGCCTCGGTACTGTGACGAATTGATCCAATTTAAGTGACACTCCACTCTCATCTGCCTTTTCTGACAGACGCAACAAAAATAGCTATTTCTTCTTTAATCAGATGGCTTGCGTAAAGGCCATCATGTTTATTGACAAGAACAGTATTTAGAGGTTCTTGAATGACAATTGTTATTTCCTATATCCTTTTATTCCTGGTCATGGATGGGGTAAAAACCTAAGAGAAATTACTTAAAACTGTCTGCATAAAAGAACAGATATCACCATCTTTGTGTACTTAAGTTTGTATAAATATTGCATTGTATTGTCTTCTTTTTGGTACAGTACTCTGATATAGCCAAATACATATTGGGCGCTTGATCTGTACTGTAAACTGAGTTCTTTTTAGCATCTCGATTGTCGAGGATATAGTCTTTCTGATCATGCGACATACGGAGCCATAAGTCATGTCCTGCGTTATGCATTCGTCATTATCCATAAATAGTTTCTTTGACCATAGATACACGTAAATACTCCTCACACACCCTTTGTTCCTGTTCATAGAACAGAAGCTAGAAACGAAGTGGCATCGTTTACAGCATCTATCGGTGAAGTAGGCGGATCCATCATGTCAGATAACATTCCTTTGCGAACCCAACACTCATGTACTGAAAACGAATATTACAGAATAAATGTGTTCAGCAACGCACAACTAAACACAATGGGCAGTACAAGGCCACTTGAACAGCTAATTGTGTTTATCACTAGGGCCTCGGAAAACTCTGAACGGTTAGATATGCTACAGGTGAGGACTTGGGTTTTATACTATTATTGAAGAACACCTATGAGTTATGATAAGCGTGGACTATTAGAGAGGTGATGTGAGAGGGCGGGGGTGGGGAAGGGGAGTAGAATGGAAACGGTACGGGAGGGTACTGGGAGATGCCTTAGAGGGGAAATTTCCTTTTTTTATGTATCAGGTGCAAACTTTTGAACTCCTGAGATGAAAAGTGGAGACGCTGTTTTCTTTTCTTAAACTGCCCCACTCCCCTCCCCTCTCCCGTCAATAACGCATCAGCCACTGCATTCGTCAACTGAATAGTAATAGTAAACTTTCTCTAAGCAGAAGCAGCTTGATCAAGGGGCGATCAACGTGCGGTATGTGTATTCAAATCATTTCCGTTGGAGGAGAAGCAGAGGGGTCAATCTTCGTGCTGATTTAGTCATGGGGGATTTCTGTGCTAATAAGGAGGTAAAGTCTTATGTACAGATTCGCTGGTCTAAGTTCTTAGCTTTTTGTTGATTTCCTTTCAGATCTCTAATAATTAATGGTTATAAATATAGTTTTCTGTTCTATGCGGAACGAAGAGCAGGTAAAAAGAAAATAAAAATTGCGATAATGCTGCATTACAAGCCAACTTTTAGGTGTGTTCTTTTTTAGGTCCATCGACGCAAAATTGATGAAATGAAGCTTGGAGAGAATCTCGTTTTTACCATGCCTAAGAGTGATGCATCCTCCACGACAGTAAAGTTGAAACTTGTGAACGAAAGCCGTGATATCATTCTTGAAACAGGAGAGTTAAACTTGGAGCAATCAATGGTTAGTTGATTCTTGGTGACTGTATAATTTTGATATAATCACACTGGGTTTCTCAATGACCCCATTAAGTTTCTTAATGACTGTAATAATCTAGCTTGTGAATGGTTTCCTAGCATACATAAAAGTAGGTTTCAGGGAACAGAAGCGAAAATTGCTTTGGCTGTATACTAGTTTAGGAATTATTTGTATGATACATGATACTTATCTGTTTTAGCTTCTAGACGAGACACGCCCTGGCGTTGAACACGGGCATGAAGGAAACCAAGTCGTCGAAATGGAGGCATAATGTCGGATTTAATTTGGAGATTCATCTTTTCTTAGTTGTTATTTTAATATGTCTTTAAAGGAAATCATTATTTACATTAAATTGCTAAACGTCATCGCATGATTTCGAGTGCAAGTTGGAATAAATAAGTACGAGTAATTGTCAAAGACTAAAAAATCTGCTCGCGTGTGTTTTGTAGTTTTTTTAAAAAATTGCGATTGTTTTTTCGTTCTTTACTGCGTGATGGAGATTGTGATTAATGATTGATAATATCACGGGAAAAATTAAGAGGCGCAGAAATCTCCTGTAAAACCAGACCATTCAAACATGACAATTTTTCTTTTTTCAATTCTTTTTTAAATTTCGTGTTCTGTCAAAAAAACTACGTTTAATCAAACAAGTTTTTAGGTAAGTTTTATGTTTTGTTTTGTTGACCAAAAAAGAGTTCAAAGTGCGACCAAACAAATTCGTTACTTACTTTTGCACTGAATTTTTTTCTCTAAAATTTGTTTCGTGTAATTTATAGGGATCAGCCAAGAAAGTTTCATCCTTGTTTTTAAGGAACTCGTTTATTAACTTTTTGGAAGAAAACATGTCGAGGTAAAAATCTCTATTCCAAATTCTCTCGGGCTTACCATTTTGTAAGAAGAAAGTCATCTTCGCCAACTTCATTCTTTATGCTGTGAGGATTTAGAAGATGAAGCGGTTTGAGCGGAAAAAAAAGGAGATTTCCATTTTCTAAATTAAAATATCTCGATGAATGTACCAAGAGTATTTGAGGCAAAAGGTAAAGTTGGTGGTAAAATTGCTAGGGATTTTTTAGGATGAATTGAATTGAATGTGGCAAGGTTATTTAAATTATTCCATTTGATATACAGTTGAGAGTTTTAAGAGGACCATAATGACAAGAACTGCAAGGGTACATTATTCGATGAAAATGTACAGTAAAGATCAGTACGACTGTTTGGTCACATTTAAAGCTATTTAAATCAGGGCAATTGAGTTCAATATATACCATAGTCTTAATGTAATTGTAGCACCTCATTTATGATGTTGAAGCATCAAACTCTTTAAAGAACAGACTGGCAAAGGTAATATGGTCTTTGGGAAATGAAATTTTTATGATGAGGTCTCGTTACAACAAATAATTACCAAGGCACATGGTAAGAAATTTTGAGCAGGAAAAAGGATATTCTTTCAATTTCTTATTATAAGTGAAAGGAATTTCTTCACGGGTAGATTAATTCATGTGGAGGGATTTCGCTGCCTTAAACAGTTGCTATCTTTTTACACATTCATCTTTTGTGTAGTAGAATATTAAAAAATCGAACAGAAATAAAGCTGGTAGCACATATTATTAATGAAAAGACGCTCTGTACACAGGAAATGCATTAACATAAGGAAATTTTATTCATTTCATCTGATGAAGTGAACAGTGCTGAAGAATAACATTGTACATACATTTAGGATTTACGTTTGAGTTTTTTAATCGATTCTTAGACTAGCAACATTGAGCTGTGCCTTCCAGTTAGTTGAAATAGATTATTAGCTTAATAATACAGCAAACATTTTAGAAAACTGCGTTCTTCACTGAGCTTGTAACATATTCATTCAATGTTATTACATGTATGTTCAACAAAATGCACTATTAAAAGAATATCAATCTCATACCTTTTTCCAAAGTTTGGATGTGTTTCTATTAATTTCTGTAAGAAAGATTATTTATAGATCACTGAGCCCTATTCTGTTCACTGGGGTGTGTTGACTTAACCTTTTAAATCCCAAGATCTGATTGTTAATTCTCCCCTTTAGCTGCTGCACATTTCCTTGTAAATAAGTTGCAAGAATTTAGTGCTAGATCAAGATAACAACTTCTACCTGATACATTTGAGTACTCTCATTACCTGTTTGCTGGATGGATATTGTATATATTGTAGGGAGAAGTTACATGCAAATCACTCTTAGGAGTTAAAGGGTAAAAATGAATGGGGGAAGGTGGGTGGGTGTGAATCGTGAGCACGCGCTGAAGATCACGCCATTTTTAATTTAGTCACGCACTGATCACGTGCTTTTGTTTACGGCACGCGGGCAACAACTGCGCGATTTTATCACGGTCGGAATACATTTGAATTTGATCAGGGGCACGTGACCAAGAATCAACCAATCACAGTGCTCATTTTGTTGAGTAAAAGTGTAGGAATATAACAACATACTTTAAACACAGGGGGATGTGAATATATCGTCGCTGGTAAACTGAAGGGAATTAGGCTTGGGCTGTAATTGAATGTTTCCAGATACCACTTACGTATTTTAACAACAAGGCCATGAAGCCGCATAGTATCAACAGAATAACAATGACACAGGAAAAAAATAAACAAAAAAACAAAAACAAAAAAGAAGAGGAAGGAAAACAAAAAAAAAGAACAGAAATGATACTCGAATTCCTGAGAGAAAACTATGATCTATTTTGAGATAACTTTGAGACAAATCAGTTGAATTATTGAGCGCGATAGATCGTTTTGTTGGAAATGTGAATCGGTACTAGCACAAAAAAAAAAGTCCTCGATGGACCTTGTTAGTTGAGAATAGGTACATCACATAGGTTAAGGCAAAAGCAGTTAAAAATCTTTTGTACAAGTGTTTTCTTTTAACTAAAGTTGAGTATCAGTAAGTTTTTCATACTGATATAGAATGCTTGTGATATTAGCTTGAAACCTTAACTGAATATTCATATTTTATACATTTAAAAGGCTTTAACTTTGCTTCGATGGCATAATTCCCATTTTGGCGATTTGTCATCTCTAAACAAGCACCGCGTCTCATTTTAGTAAATCTCATCGAGGTATCGAACTGATAATAAAATGTGTGGCTGCTTTTACGTGCTGCCAGCACAAAATCACACTCCGAAAAGACGACGAAATCAATATGCACGATTAAAGGGTAATTAACTCGCGAGATTAGAAGTGAGACTAGCTTGAAAATCTGGTGCTTTATGGTAGCTTGACTATGAATATAATCACTTGTTTAATGTTAATTTTTCAGCAAGTCCTTACAATGACAAGTGCTGTTTTGCCCTATTAATAAGTAGATGCAAACAGCATAGTATCCTTAATAGACATCATACCTCTTACGAATATATATTTTAGTGTATTCATCTATGCAATGGGGCGTTTAAAGCAAACTGGGATAAGAAGAAAAAAAGAAGTTAAAAAAACAAAAACGAGAACAAACATCCCTGGTATCTTATGAAACCTAACGAGTAGTGCTTACTGAAAATAAGCCCTTAGCCTTTTTTTCCCTGATTACTATTAGGGTTTTTTTGCAAGGTTTTTATTTACCTTCCTACTCTTAGTTAAATGTCTTTGATTAATGTCTGTACTGAAGACTTAATTCAATCTTCCTGATTGGTTCTCGCTATGTTGTACTGTCCCAAAATGAGACGGCGTTGAATCACACCTGAATCCAATTAGCGTTTTCCATATTGAAAAAGAAATTTTTTTTATCTATTTTTAGATTTAGCAACACTTTAAAGATACGTGTACTAGTTTTGTACTTGCTAAAACTTTTATACGTGAGATAGAACGTACTTAATAACTTTCTCTTTTTAGTAATAAACAAAACTTAAAACTGATAAGTGGATACGTTTTCCTTTCCTTTGGAAGCTTGGATATTACTGAAAACTCCTTCATCTCCAAGGTGAGAGGAGTTTTAAAGCTTTGGATAGCAATAAAGTTCAGAGATAGTAAAGGGGGAAGAGGGGGGGGGGGGCGTTTAAAGAAACGGTGGTGGGGCATCTGTGTGGATATTAAAATGTAATTTTGTGTTATTAACTGAGTTACAATTAAAAGAAAAGCCACTGGAGAAAAAATAAATGCAGAAGTTTCAAGAGTTAGCTATTCATATATCAGGAAATAAAGACGGAAACTACTCTCTGAAAAGCGAACTAGTGTCTAAAATCGGCAGTGGTGTCTGAAATCAGAAATTAAAGTCTTAAATCGGTGCTGTTGTCTTAAATCGGACTCTGGTGTCTAAAATCGAACATAAGCATCTCGAATCGGACACAAGTGTCTAAAAACCGGATATCAATGTGTACTACCATCGTTATAGTTATTGTTAGAACTTTAGAAAGGGGGAAGATGTATACTTTTCAAGGTATTTTAATTATCTAGAATACGAAATAAGCCTGCAAAGTGAGTGTAAAACCTGAAAACTCGTGCTTAATTCCATAGCAGATGGCCCCAAATTCTACAAGTGAGAAAAGTGTCTCGGGGAACTAACCTGACAGTATTAGAACTAAAATTTCTTTATCATCTCCATGTCCTTCATACCCTCACCAAAGTTGTTTTGATATTACTGAAATAATCACTAATTCAGTCTTTATTATTGTGAAGGCGGTCGTAAATGGTAGTTTTGCTGCGCAAGGTGTTGTATTTGTTTCACCTGCGCAGCAGACCTTTTCCTCTTTGTTTGTTTGTTTTTTGTTTTCCATTCCCTGTAAGGCCTTGCCACTTGATTGAGTGCTCCCCAACAAAACCACCAGCTACTCACACTAGTTACAATGGTCTGGCATGTAAAATCGTGCATTCGTTGCAAATCCCCAAGAAAGCTCGAGTTAAAACCTCAATAGTTTCTAGTTTAAAGTCAAAAGAGTCAACAACGGCGCGAGACCTACGAAAACTTAATGCACTTAGTATCAAGCAGCTTTGTCTAAAAGAGTTTGATGTCAATAAACTCTCCAAGTTCTTTTAGGAAATCAGTCAGTGGCACTGGATCCTGTGAAAAAGAGGTAAGTTCTTGGTTAGGGTTTGCAGAAAGCACACCTTTATTAGGAATAAAGTTTGTTTATTTCTTGTCTATAAACTGATAGCATCACATAGCGAACACAACGGGGCATCTGAAAAACTTATCTATATTTGGTCTATGGCCAACTTCTTCAATTCAAGGCAATTTGTGCCTGACCGTTTTAACAAGGTAACGTTTTTTTCCTTGTTGCCTCAGGGGATGAAACAAATAAGTATTTTCTCGTCCAGTGCGATCGAATCAATTCAATAAATAAGCATTTTATCATATGACTACCGATCTCTCTATATCTACTTTTCTTTTTGTACCTGTTCCGAACGCTTGCGAGGATTTTTTCTGACTCTGCTGGTGAACGTGCATCGGGAATCTTTTTTTTTAAAGGTTGTTTTATAATAAAAGCGCACACAAAAATGTGCGAGTCATATTACGTAGGGAACTATCCTATATCAATCATGTGAATATTGCTATATCAAATATCATGATCGTCTAGGATAGTAAACAAGCATAGAAGAACGCAATGGATAAAGAATGACTGAATTCTCACATAAACAGTCCAACATGTAACGTTACATCAGTGAGCCTCAACTGACATAGTTTGCGGTAATCAAACGAGACCGGTCAGAGAATGAAAGAAGTCTACAAGATACGTGATTAAGATTCATCTCTTACCATTCACCTTTGGAGCCTCGATTTAGTGCGGGGCCCAAGCAGCGAAAAATGTGTTTCAGCTGTGTATTTTTGGATGGTCATGAAACGAAAAATTGAAATTCTTTTGATCAACTTTGGAGCCCATAGCATTTGAGATTAAGATTGTAAATATCGTCATCATAATGTGTATGTATTAGATATATCAAGAATAACATCATTACTGTTAATGTTGTTACTACTATTATCATTCAGTTATCACGCTACACTACTACCTTAAATCTTAAAACAACAAACCTATACATGATTAACTATACAACAACAAAAATAAAAACAAATGAGGTGTCGGTAAAGTACCAGCTAAGGAGGAATCAACAAGAAGTTAATATGATAAATTGTCTAGGATTGCAAATTAAATGCAATTAATATAACACAGTAGGTTACATGTTACAAACATCAGTCAGTTTCCTCCCGCTGTTGACTAACAAATATAACTTACCGTGTGGAGGCTTCATCGGAGCATTCTTACGTTTCCTTGGCGGTTTAATCCCTACGCCTCTTTTCTAAGAGAAAAGAAGAGTTTTAGGTTATTCGATTCAATTTGAACAGCAAATTTCAACTCCAATTTGTGAACCTGGAGGAGCCTGATTAGAGCCTGAACTAGTCAAGAAACAGTTATAGTTGAATTTGACACGCTGCATAGTAGTATAAATAAAAGTTTTTTTTTTTCTTCAAGAATATTCACGTAGGATTTAATCTTTTTCTATTTTAATTCTCGTTATTTTGCAATCGTTCTTATTATAACTATTATAAGTATTATTACTTTATTATTGTCATAAATTGTCATTAGCCATTATTCTCGTGATTTTTTTTTAATAATCTGCTGTTGGTTTACCTGCTCGAAAAAAGCCACCATCTCGGTATTAGCGCTGTCATCGTCATGTGAAACTATTATTCGGCAAAAGAACTGCTGCTTGGTTCGATCAACGTGACTTACTTCAAAAACACAGAGAGGGAAATTTGCTGAGTTTTCAGGCGAATTCCACGCATCTTTTATATATATTATCTAAATAGAGACATACAAACGGACAAAATCATTCCTCTAGCTTTCGAATTGAAATGTTATTAAGTTGTCCTAAATCTGCATGGCACAAGAAACGCAATCCTGGAGTTATTCCTTGAGTGCAGTAACGATTGTCTGATTAGCTTTTTGTACCAGTTTTCTGTTACATGAAACCTCAGTTTGTTTTCTCCTCGATATGACCTACTTTCTATAACAATCTTTTATTCGAAAAGTTCTTTACTTATCGGAGAGCAGCTGGGAATTCATCTGTACAATCAGAGATGTCAATTTACCTTCACGTTTTCACCTTTTATTTGCCATCCTGGATCTAGATCAGTAAACTCAATTCTGATGTTTTCCTTGCTGTTGGACACAAATAGGCCTGAAAGAGTTGTCAGCAGTCTGTTTCCTTTTTCTGCTTCTTTCTCGCAAACAACCTGTTATCAAAGGAAAGCAATAAATTAAAAAGCGAAAAAACAAAATAAACAAAAAGTTGATGATTTAATGAAAAATGGATAAAGGAAAATAATGCAATGCCTTATATTGTTGCACCACAGCATTGCAGGGATCACAGGTGGTCTCTCATCAAATAAACACTTAATTAAGAGAAAGAATGTGATCTTCAGTTGATAGAAAAGAAAATAGCTCTCGAGCAGGGCACTTGGGTAATTTGTACCGTCTTACATCAGTTTAGAAGCTGACTACTTCATCTGCTGAGTTCTTGGATTATAACTGACTTACGTTTCATTAAGCCTTCTTGTTGACTGTAGTACGAGTTATCCTTCTCATTTCAATGTTATCTTAAATCATAATTACTTTTATCATTATAATTACAGTTACATGCTTTTTTTACCTCGAATGCCTTTTTTGAATCATCAATCAAGTAAACCCGAATCTTCCAGTTGCAGCCCTGAGTCGGATCTTTTCCAAAGATCGCCATTTGCATTCGTTTCTGGTCACTCTTTTTGGGAACTCCAAAAGCAGCAACCTCAAGATTTTCCGTTAAGACAGGCAACGTCAACTCTATATTGTTGTGTTTTCTCTCTACCTTGGCATCGGGGTAGACCTCCATGACATTTTTCCAGTTTTTTTCCCTCTTGCATTGATTATTGTTTGGTCGGCAATTGACTAAGATGTCCCAGGAATTTCCCTCGGTCATCAAACAACAGTGTTCGATCGAAGTCGGCTTGGGAGGAAGGGCCCCATTTTTGTGGACTTTGTAGCAACCGCTGACTAGACAATGGAAGCCACGGTTTTGGAATCTTGCTCCTATTGTAGGGAGATGAATACAATTAATGTTACATTTAACTCAGGAAAAAATGAAAAGGGATTTATGATATTGATACTTTCAACAACCTCAACAACCTTTAAATCTGATGTTTCTTTTGGAGAGAATTTTCTATCTTTTTAATTTTTTTCTCAGTGGGCTCAAAAAAATGTGTACACGTTCCTTCTTTCACAACCTTCAAATCTGACTTTTCTTTTGGAGGAAATTTTCAATTTTTTTCTTTTTTTTTTCAATTGGCTCGAAATAACCTTTACATATTCCTTCTCCTCTTGATTACAAAAACAAAAAAAGAAAATAATAATAATAATGCACATGTAATAAAATGGAAATATAATTGTGAAATAATTAAGCCCTAATCTAGTATAAATTTGACGTCCTTATGGAGGTAATTCAGAATTACATGTTCTTGAAGATTGGGACAGGAAAGAAGAGTACTTAAAAATGGGAACAAAGCTGATTTTTCAGTCTCGAAGCTGCACGTGACACCGCGCGCGTTATGGGTCTTGAGGATGCAAAAAGTATGATGCAAGACATAAGTGCATAGTTGCTGTGTGAATCCGTAGGCTGCAAAAAATCAAATTTGATGAAATAGCCATGGTTTGCAAAAACTTCGTTAACCAATATCACAAGAAAGATTGTCTACGGAAAGAGAGTATGGATGGCTCACAACCTTATGCACAACATCTTTTATATTTTCAATGTGTTGTAACTGTCTGAAATGTGCAGGTCATCTAAATTGTAAAATGAAGAAACATGTTATGTAGAAAATACAACCTTAATTAAAAACCACGATGAAATTCAGTGAAAAAAGGAGAAAACGATGCCTTGCTGCAATAAATGGAATATAATAAAATTAGATTTTCTACCTAAGATGTTTGTCGCTCGATCCATGGAAATAATTTATTCATGTATCGATTTTGCCCCTAATTTGCATATTTCTGACTTACCAGGATGCATACTTGCGATCGGTCGTTTTCTACTGCGGGTCGTCAAGTTGTGATGCGATGAACAGTTCGTTTCTGCTCTTGTTCCTAAAACATTGCTGACACACGCAGTGAATTTCAGCTGATTTGCACTTTCGGTTTATTTCAAAAGGTCAAGAGGTCACGGCCGAGGGGTTTCCCCTAACTTGTAAATATTTTGCAACGAAGCATATCTACCAAAACAACCCTATCAGCGTTTTTTTGTCGCCAAGAACGTAACGTTTCAGAGCTTACTCTGCGCTCAGTTTGCATGTCAACTAGGTAAATAAAGTTCAAAATTAAGACACTTTAAAATATATATATTAGCTTAGAAAACCTCATTTTCCGTTTTGTTTTCCTTTTTTTCTTTGATGTGATCTCGTACCACCTGGTTGAACAAAATTTAAATACGTCATGCTAAAGAAGAATAAGATAAATTGTCAATCGACAAATGAGGGATTTTTCCCTTCAAATCGATAGTGCAACGTTGCATATTTTTATCAGGGTAACCCTAGAAACGCTAATTAAACATATTTCAGCTTTCGACTTGAAGTCTCATGCTTAGAAGAAAAGCAGATTGATGAAATAAGTAAATGATGAAGAAAGATGAAAACCCTACAAGGACCGAGTTTTATCAAATCATTTATAAGCGAAGAAAAGTAAAAAAAAAACTAAATTTCGGGGCTGGAGCTATTTCACACGACCGAAACTAAAACTGGGGATTACCCTGTACAGATGCTGTTCGTAAAAATCGTCTAACAAGTGTAGAAAAGCTTATGGAAGGTACAAGGTTCAGCCTATTTCACTCCTCTAAAGTACAAGGTACAACTGAGCTCGCCCATATAAGGAGCCACATAGCTGAACTTAATGCATCTTGCTTAGAGAGTTAGAGCAAAGACGATCACTTTAAAGGCTCGCGGAACATAATAAATAAATAACATCACGCATTAGTGGAAAGAGAAGAGACCTCTGCGACTGAGGACGGAGCACTCTTTATCTCTAACAAAAGTTCATTCCGGTAAGTAACTGAGTATATCTATTGTTTCCTCCGGGCGATGTTTGGCTTCTAAGAGAGACTCCATCGCCATCGATCTTTGCGCATATTATGATCGGAAATGGTAAACCATAGTAACTTACGTAAGCTACAAAATTAGACCAAGAAAACTTGGAAGCAATAGCGGGTTGAATTAAACACAAATACTACGATAGTGCTTCAGTTCGAGGAGGGATTGTTTTCTGCTGAGATTCCCTCCGAAATAATCTTTGGGAATTCAACATTCCTTGCAGGTGGCTACAGTCACGCAGCGCTGTCCGTCAGAAAGGGTGAACACAAATTTTCATTACATGTGTGGGACCTGTTTAGTGTGTTCAGAGCGACAGAAAAAGGACAGTCATTTACCCATGATCAAGATAATGAGCCGCTTATGTATTGCCTGGCCAGACTAATAAGAGTACAATTCGAATCGTGTTTTAAATATCAGACGTCAAAGGTAACTTACACGTTTTTGTAAAATATCATCAACAGTTGTAGATGACGAGTAGATGCTTAATTTACATACCGACAAAGCCACCACTGACTTGATCACGCACCGTGTCAATTCAAGCCAAAATTTGCTCTAAGCAAGCGCCGAAATTTCGAAATTCCACCTACGTTCTGATTTATAGGGAAACAGTTGTGTGTGCTTATATTGGTACGATGCAAGATTACTTTAAATCTACTGTGCCGATTTTTAATTCAGGGAAGTTCTTGCCTCGGTGTCGTGACGAATATGACACAAACTAAAACGTTGTCTCAATTTACTCTCAGACACACGAAATAAAACGGTAATTTCTTCCCTTCTTCCAGAGGTAATTTTCGAAATTTCGAAATCTCACGTACGGTCTGATTTGTAGAGACAGTTGTGTGTACTTATCTTGGTACGAAGGAAGATTATTTTAAATCTGTTGTCAGTGGTAATTTATAATTCAGGGAAGTTTTTGCCTCGGTGTCGTGACGAATATGACCCAAACTAAAACGTTGTCTCGATTTACGCTCAGAGACGCGAAATAAAATGGTAATTTCTTCCTTTCTTCCGGAAGTAATTCACGAAATTTCGAAATTTCACGTATGTTCTGGTTTGTAGAGACAGTTGTGTGTGTCTGTCTCAGTACGAAGCAAGATAGTTTCAAATCTACTGTGGCAATTTATAATTCAGGGAAGTTCTTGCCTCGGTGTCGTGACGAATTTGACCCAAACTAAAACGTTGTCTTGATTTACACTTAAACACGAAATAAAACGCCTATTTCATTTGATGGAGGAAAAAGAAGAGTTTTCCTTTTTCCCTCCATCAAATGGCTCATGCATTGGCCAACTTACATTTCCAGCCATGGATAAAAACAAAAAACAAAAACTAAAAGACAAAGACAAGCGAACAAAAATAAACAAACAACAAAAACGAGAACGACAAAAATTCTACATAGAACTGTTAGCTATAAAAGAACAAATCAAGTTCCTTTCGTATGCTTTAGTTGGTGAGAGTATTGCAGTATGTTGGTTATTTCGTGCCATGCTCAGATATCGCCTGGCACATATTGTGCACATGATCTGTACTGTAAATTCAGTTCTGGTATCTCGATTTTAGAGGGTAAAATCTTTCTGATCATATGGCACGCGGATCCACGAATTATCTCGTGCACCATGCACGCGTAATTATCCATAAATAGCTTCTTCGATCATATTACACTTAAACACACCTCACACACTTTGTTTCTTCCCATACGACAGAAGCTAGCAAGGAAATAACATCAGTTACACCGTCTATCAGTAAATACAATTGGCAAGGATCCAACATGTCAGATGAAATTCCTTTGCGAACCCAGCAGTCATGTACTGAAGACGAATATTACAAAATACATGTGTTTAGCTACGCACGGCCAGCCACAAATGGCGGTACAGGGTCACTTAAACAACTGGTTTTGTTTATCACAAAAGCCTTGGAAGATTCTGGGCAGTTAGATATAATACAGGTGAGGACTGTGGGTTTACACAATTATTGGACATGCATGTAAGTATAATTATGATCAGGGTGACCCGCCGGAGGGATGATGTAAAGAGGTTGGGGAGGGGAGCAGAGAGGAAGAGAGTTGGGAGATGCATGGGAAATGAAATTTTCTTTATTTTTTCTTCTTTTTGGTGCATCTTAGGGGCAAGCCTTTAAACACCTGTGATGAAAATTGGAGACGGTGTTTCCACTTTCTTAAACTGTTACATCTCAATAAAGCATTTATTTAATCACTGCATTCATCAACTAAGCAATAATTAGAATTTTTTTTCTAATTAGAAGCAGCTTGATCAAGGTATGGTCAACGTACGGTCTGTATACACAGATAGTTTTCGTTGGAGGAAAAGTGAGGGTACCAGGCTTCTTGCACAATTAATCATGGGAGATTTCCAAGCTGAAAAGAAGGTAAAAGCTTTGTACGTACAATTTTGTTTTAGATTCATTGTTTTTTTTTTGTTTTTTTTTGTGAATGTCCTTAGTGATCTCCGATAACTCATGATCATCAGAGTGGGTAACTAAGAGCTGTTAAATTTGAAAAGCCTAAAAGATTGTGATAATACAGTATTTCCTCGGTCAAGCGCCCGGGCACTTTTTTAAAATTTCAGCTAATATAAGAGAGGTACCCCTTGGAAGGAGGGTGCTTATTAGGAACCATCAACCTGCACTGATTCCGCTGTTTTTACTGATTCTGGTTTTCTCCCTATCTCCACTAATAAAGAAAGTGAGGAAGGAGGGGGAGGGGCGCCTGGTTGATATCATGGCCCAGGGGGTGAGCTCTTTTTGGAGAGAGGGCGCTGATTAGAGCGGGGTCGCTTTTTCGCGCAAATACGGTAATTGCATTACAGACCAACCCTTTGATGTGTTCTTTCTAGGTCGACAGACTTAAAATCGAAGAAATGAAACTTGGGGAGAATTTTGTTTTTACCTTGCCCAAGAGTAATGCGTCTTTCATGACAGTGGAGGCAACACTAATGAACGAGAGCCGAGATATCATTTTTCAAGCGAGAGAGTTGGACCTGGAGCTTTCAACTGTAAGTTTATTCTTAATTAGTACATAATTTTCACCTTTGAACAAAATATTATTTAAATTTCCGCAAATGGTTGCCTTGAAAAAATAATGAAAAGGCACATCAACTTTGGAATCCTAGTTACGTGGACTGCACAATAGTTATTAGATGCTGTGCAAGATTCCTGATACTCTTTAAATTTGATCTGTTTTAGTTTCAAGGCGAGACACGCCCTGCCGTTGAAAACGAGCATGAAGGAAATCAACCACTTGAAATGGAGGCATGATACAGGATTAAACAACTGTTTCTTAGCTCTTATTTTTAATTTTGGAGGAAACTCATTGTTTAATTTGTTTGGCTAGACGCAATGAGTACAGGTGACCATATGATTTCGAGAGTCAGTTCAAATTGATAAGTAAGACCAATTTTCTCAACGACCAAAACAATTGCCTACGGACCTCGTTGGTTGTATATCATCTCATATCCAACAAGCCCGAGTAGAAAAGTGTAATTAAAAACGCCCCAAACTTTATTTTGTAAGAACAAACAGAATTTTAAAATGTACAAAAACAGTTCCGATTTAACTCGTCCTATTGCTTGCGCATGGTATACTGGCTCATAACTCATGACGGCTAAACCAATGAAAACTCTCTAATTGCATTATCCAATGATCAGGATATTCCATACCAACAATTGTAAATTGATCAATGTTTCTCTTTTCTCCTTTATTATATATAAGAATTAATATCAGAATACAAGCTCCAGAAAGAAAAAATACTTCATGTTTCGACTAATCCGTCAAGTAAGTGTCATCTTTGTTTTTAAAAAAAAAATCATTTAAATACTTCTTGAATCCAGAAAGAAAGCAGGTTTACTTACACGAAAGATCAGTAAAAGAAGTACCGAAAAAAGAAAGTCATTAGTGTTCAGACGAGGCAACGAAGAGGGACAAGCGTACAGTAAAAATACCAGGTAATTCGCGAGGTTATTGTCAAGAAGATAAGAACTAGCCCTAGCGAAGTTACTTTTGAGCAGTACCGCACAAAGAGCGTTCAGCTTATGTGAACAAAATACTCTATTCCAAATTCTTTTGGACATAGCCCTTTGTAAGAAGAAAGTCAACTCCGCTAACTTCATTCTTCATGCGGAAAGGATTTTGAAGATGAAACAGTTTAAGCGGAAAAAAAAGTGGATTTCCAAGTTCTAAAAAAATATCTTGATGAAGATACCAATACTTTTGAGGCAAAAAGGAAAGTTGGCAGTAAAATTGTTTGGCATTTTTGAGGATGAATTGAATTGAATGTGGCAAGATTATTTAAATTATTCCACTCGATGTACAGTTGAAAGTTTAAAGAATTGCAATTGATGCAAATGTACAGTAAATGTACAGTTAACATCAGTACGATCTTTAGGTCATATTTATAGCTATTTAAGTCGGGGCAGTTGTTTAAGACAAGCCTTGGTCTTAATGTAATTGTAGCACCCCATGTATGTCAATTAAGATGCCAAAGCATCAAATTCTTTAAAGAAAAGACTGGTAAAGGTAATGTGGTCTTCAGCAAATGAAATGTTTATGGTGAATTCTTGTTACAACAAACAATCACAGTAGGAAATTGGAAATTATATTTATTTCCCATTATAAGTGAAAGGAATTTCTTCATGGGTGGTCAATTTAATAAATTCAAATTGCAGGATTTCACCACCTTAAACACTTGCTGTCTTTTACACATCAAATGTGTCTTATGTATTGTGTAGTGGCATTCTAAAAATCCAACAGAAATGAAGCTGGTAGCACATATTATTAACGAAGAGACGCCATGTACACAGAGAATGTATAAACAAAAGGAGCTATTTAGTGGAGTTTTTTAAAATATAGTGAAAATTTATTCATTTCATCTGATGAAGCAAACAGTGCTTTTAAAGAATAACATTGTACATACATTTAGGAGTTACATTTGAGTTTTTTAATTGATTCTTAGATAGCAACAATGAGCTGTGCGTCCAGTTAGTTGAAATAGATTATTAACTTAATGCTACAGCAAACATTTTACAAAAATTAAGTTCTTCACCAAACTTCTTCCTTCTTCATTCAATATTACATGTATGTTCAACAAAATTTTCTATTAAAAGAGAATCAATCTCATTCCTTT